CCAGCTGAGACTCCTGGCCTCTGTATCCTAAGGCTGGCCTCTCTTTCTCAGGCAAATGTCTGACTCAGAAAACTGAAGCCTGGCTTCAAGTTGAACCTCATGGTTTAAAATGTAGTTGGAACAATGAGAATAAGGGCCAGAGCAAGGCCTGTGAGGTGGGGCGTGAACAGACGTGCACACGGCCCCGCTTTCAGGAAAGGTTTATTGGGGCGGAGGGTCTTCCGTACAGTCCATTTCAGATAGAAGGCAGGGCAGCGGCGCCCGAGCTGCGCGCCGCGGAGGGAGCACGGCTGCGGCCGCTCAGGTAACGGCGCTTATTGCACGATTTACATTCAGAGCGGCAGCTCGGAGGGAAACTTCACTGGAGGTAAATGTTACAGAGTTGGACAACCTGAACTCTTTAAAGATTGGAGGAAGGGGTTATCAGTGATTTCTCTGGTACCAATGTCAAGAGTGAAACCTGATTTTTACCACCACCTGGGGTGGGGGGGGCGCTGTCACAACCACCACCGGCTGGGGCCTCTGCTCATCAGGTAACTTTTGAGCGCAGTGAACAGACCAGGCTGTTCAGGCGTATCCTGGCTCCTGAAATGTCCTGCATCCACAGAAGAGGCAAGCGAAGGAAGAGTCTTGCGAACACTCAAAGTGGGGAGGAGCTGGATCCACCAGGTGCGGGAGCAGCGGCGCCACCTGCTGGCCGCGAGCGAGGGCGGCGCAGGCGGGTCTGGAGCTCTCCCAGCAACTCTGACTGACCCCATCTTCCCTTCTGAACCTGCTCCCGTTCCGCACTCCAATGTGCAGCCAATGTGCAGTGCGGCAGCAGCTCGGGCACTGAGCTGCGGGGGGCAGGTCGACAGGCATCTGCCTTTTCCACGAGGACACGGGTGGCTCCTGGGGGGAGAGTGACCCATGACAGGGTAGACCCTGGGACCAGGAGTTACACCTTCCGTCCCAAGCCAGGTGCCAGTGGAATGACTCGAGAAGTTCTGGGAGGGGAAAATAGAGACTAATTTCCAAAACCATTTGTTCTCAGATAAAAAGCAGATTTATACACCCACACAATCCTCTCCAGATTCTCAGTAATATTTCAGCAGGGAAAGGTGGTTTTCAGGAAGCTGACTGGATAGATGCTCACTCGATCTGGAGACTCTGCTCAGGGGAACTCCTTCCTTCCTTCCATTTCATTTCCCATGTTCAGTGTGGATTTCAGGAAAAGTAGTTCACAGTCCTATGCATGAGGGCAAGATGTTCATAAATACCTCACGACAGACCGAGAGCTACTGGGTGGCTGCAGCCAGCACATGTGCTGAGGAACCTGGGGAGGGCCCTTTCCTCGAGGGACATGATCCTTGGGAAAGCAGACACGGGCCAAGGTGTGGTTCTGGTCCAGGTTGGGCTGCCCCAGTCCTACCTACAGCACCCGTGAAAGCAGAGTGCCTGTGTACACGCCCCTTCACATAATTGATACGGTACCACCTTCTATAGAAAATACAAAATAAACACATCTGATGTCTGGATTTCTTCCCTGCTTCCAAATTTGTAGACTCCCAGGAAGATTTTTTGCAGCCTCTTTTTAATCTGGTTTCTCAAGCGGTTTATCCATCAGTATCAATCCTGTGAGCTATAAAAGAAAAGACCAACTCAGTACATTGAAAGGCAACTGTTTCTACACTCTCTTTCCACTTAGGGGGTTTGGCCAACAACAGACCAGAGACTGCCTGGCCTGCAGCTGAGCAGAGTACAAGCTGCAGAGAATCACCTGTTCTGGAACACAAAAGAGCAGCTGGGTTTGCTTCATACCAGCCACCCATGCTGCAGTTTCCAAGCAAAGAGCTCACGCTAAGTCCACCTGGGAGAGGGCTGAACCCCCCACCCCCGGCATTGCTTTATGGCTCTAAGCAAGCTGTGATGCCCAAGCCCGCTGCTCCTGGAAGAGGAGAGAGGTAAGGTGGTTGTCACCCCCACACTCCCTGGTCCCTGTCAGTGGCTGAGAGCCTCCCCTGGATCCAGCACAGGGTGGGTGGCAGCTACTCACACTGCTTTGGTATCCTGAGCGCCTCGCTGTCGAGCGCCATCACCTGGTGCAGGACACCCCGGAACTGGTAGAGCACCTTCAGGTTCTTCTCTTCACCCACACATGGGTCGTAGAACCCAGGCAGCCCCGCCTGCAATCAAGAGTCTCATTCGAGGGTGCTGTTAAAAACCCAGCACCACCACTTTCTGGCTGCCACCTGGAGGAGCAGCATGGAAGTGCCTCGACTTTCCCTTGGGAGCTGCCCACAAAAGATGCTAGCTTGGAAGCCTGAGGAAAAGAAATGAGAATTGCAAAAAGTTGCCTATTTGGTCCCATACTTCCCTCGCAAAACAGGCTCCTTCTGCCACACTAAATGCACCTCTGTCTTCACAGAAGCCCCACTCAGGTGGCGCTCCTAGGAGACCTGCTCAGGGAACCAGGAGTTCTTTGGCCCGAGCTCACCTGCACTTTAATTCACCTTTCTCACCCTTGCCCTGGACTCCAGTGAGCCTCAAAGTGCTACGGGGGCCTCACTCTTTCTGGAACAAGACAAGGAGTAAGCGGAATGTGAATTTTTTACAAAGGCAGGAAGTGTGTTTTGTTTGCTGCTGGACGCGGCACTCAGTAGGTGCTCAATAAATACTCAGCAATGAATGGATGAATGAACAAAGACAACAACCCCAGTGAGGGGAGAACCTGGGCGCCGGCAGCAGCCCGCACTTGAAGGCCGGCAGCAGGGAGGGTTTCGCTGCGGTAAAACGGCTGCTTGAGGGCCGCCCCCGCCGCCAGACGCCGCACCTTGGAGGCCTCGGTGAGGATGAGCTTGGAGTCCTTCACCAGGCACTGCAGGGGCACCGTCACGTCGATCACCTTCACCTTCTCGCTCTTCCTGCTCTTGTCGTTGACGAACTTCCCGTACCAGGCGTTGACGATGATGAGCCCTGAGGATGCGTGAGGTCAGGCCAGGCGCATCCAGGGCCCTCCCTCGCCCCTCCCCGCCCCATGGAGGCCGTGCCTTCTCACCCATTCTGGACTCTTCCGCCTCGATTATTCTTCGGACAGATTCCTGCATCAACCGAACCTGCAAAGAACCAGGATGGCACTTCCTATCAGGGCCTCCCTGGGTTCTGCTTCTTTGTTCAGAGCCCTTGTGCCCAGGGACTGTGTGCTGGGGGGCACGTCAGCCCTGCCTCATCCCCTGCCGTATTCACTTTAAAGAGGAGAGGACAACACCCACCACTTTTAAAAAACCCTTGTTATGCCCTTAGAGGGTGCCAGCATCTACTCTTTGGGACAGGGACTGAGTTCCCAGTGTCGCATCCCACAGGCAACATGAAGACTAAAATGACCAACCAAGTGGTTGGGGCAGAAGAGCCTGGGACCAGGCCCCTGAGACCAACGTGCAGAGGGTGAAGTACTCCCCCACTGGCCCGGTGCAGCTGCGAAGCCCAGGAGAAATATGGGAGCCCGCGCTGCAGCCGTGTCCGCAGACAGCGCGGGAACGTTCGCAGTCACGCAGAGCGGAAGGACTCCCAGGGTGGCGTTCACGCAGCCCTTACAGCAGCTTCTGCCTCTTGTTCTTCTGCAGAATGTCGGTGGCCGTGCTTTCCCTTTGCTTCTCCAGTTCCCTGAAGTGAGAACAGCACTGGTGTCACCGGCAGGGAGGCTGCAGAGCCCCGGCTGGCCCTGCGCCCGGCTCACACTGTGATCTTTCGGCATGCCTGGTTCTAGAACTTTAAACAGTATTTCCAAGACCGCTTCCAGCAACTCTGTTCTTCACTGGCCTGGGCAACTTTCCTGCTGTCCCTGGACGGCTGTCCCCACCTCCTCAGCAGGGCGCACAGGAGACCCACCCCAGGAGATGCCCCCAAACTCTGGGCTTATCACAGGACACCTCTGGTAGGGACATGCACTCCACCTCACGCGCACAGGCGCACTTCCCTCGCAGCAAACATGGGGACTCTGGGCGGCGCACCCCACCCATCAGAAGACCTGACGCTGCACTTGGTTCCAAGCCTTGAGCCTCCTGGGTAATCAGAACCCTGACCTCTAATGAATCAAAGCCTAGAGGGGCCCCAAGAGGAGATTCACTCCTTTTCCCCAGATTCTGTAAGCTCAATGATTTATTAAATTAGAACATTATAAAGTAATGAATCTAAACCACCTCGGCCGCTCTCCCTTCTGAGACGCCAGCACTCTTGTCCATGGAGTGGGTAACTCTTTTTACTTTAAACTTAGCACCCAACCCCACACCTTGTGGCCTTTCTCTTGCCTTCTGAGACCGCCTGCACTCTGTCTATGGAGTGTGCATCTCTCTGAATAAATCTTTTACTCAAACACAAACAAATAAACAAAAACAACAAAAAACCAAGTCTCAGACTTAACATTATGCTAATGGATTATCTATAAGAAAGGGCAAAATAAATCATCTCTGTGACTTGTAAGACCATGGTTAATGCATGCCTTAACGTACGGAAGAACTCAGACCTGGTCCTCTTGAATTCAGTGCCAGGAAAAGAAATGGTTAGAATGAGAAAAAGGAAAACGTTCTATTTCTGTGGCCATGGTTTATAGTCCCAACAGTTCTGAAAACTGATTCTGTTTCTGGAAATGGGAATGACAGATGAGGGGTAATAGGGCACCAGACACCATGCTGAGCACCATTAATTTTTCTAGTAACCCTATGGGGTACATTCTATCATGTCCATTTTAAAGATGGGGACATTGAGACAGTCGTTTACTGATGTCCCTGGACGTGTTTTAAACTCACTTCTCCTTCTGAGCCCTGAGATACGGTTTGATGATGAGACGGTGCATGGCGAAGTAGGCCACGAGTGGCCCCACGGTGGCGTAGAACACAGCGCTGGGGAGCAGCTGGTCCGTCAGGTGAATGGGGAAGAAGTAAGTCTGACTGGCCCTGTTTAACCTGAAAACAAAGCAAAGTGAGACACCCAAATGAGTCAGGGCTCCAGGTAGGGAATGGGGTCTCAGCCACAGGGAGAGACCCCCTCGATACAGAGGACACCAGCTACAAGGAACCAGAAATCTGCTTGTTTCACAAGCCACTCCCCTTAGCGGGTCCCTATCCCAAAGTTTAGCCACCGGATCTGATGTATGTGACAGAAGGCAGGCCCCACTCCCTGTTGACCTCAAGGGCCAAGCAACAGACTGCTGCCTGACCAGCGTAAACGTGGCCTGAAGGCGAACCCTCCTGCAGGCAGAGTTACATCCCAGTCTTCAATGTATCTGTTCAAACGAGGTGTGTGAAGATTTCCAAAGTTAGCAAATTAAGGAGGTCCTGCTCTTGGTAATGGGTGAGTAGTTCCCATTGGACCAATCACCCCACAGACATCAACTGTGGACTTTGGCTCACACACAACAAACACTTTCAGGGACCAGATAGCAACTAAGGATAGCAACCTTTAGCTTGAGGGTAATTCTGTCTGTACCATATGGATGATTAAAACTGGAAAGAAATCTGCAGCCCTATTGAAGAACCAGAGCTCAGAGTCTGGGGTAACCACTACAGCTGGGAAAAGGGGGTCCCCCAAAAGGAAAGTTACAAGTGAGGACTCCCAGGTTCTATGCATAAACACGGCACGCATCTCCAGCCGACCCCCGGTCTATCAGTGGCCTGGCTAAGGGTGAATTAATGTGTTGTGCTTTGGTTGCTGCCACACAGGTGAGTCTGAGTTTGCAGTGTGACTTCAGCCAAGTTAATGACCTTCCAAAGGGAAAAGTCAAGACTTCTTTGAAAAACATAACAGAATACAGAATCTCTGCAATATGTTGTTCGCAACACCTAGAATACACTACAAACGACTCTACATTCCCAGACACAAGAGAAAAAGGTAACAGAGACCAACCCCGGTGACCCAGATGCTGGAAGCAGCAGGTAAGGATTTGAAAGCAACTATGTTAACTCTGCTCAAAGACATAAAATAGTCTTCACTGAGAAGAATCAGTGAGTTTACAGATTAATAGAAATTATCCAATACGAAGAACAAAGAGAAAAAAGACTGAAGACAGAGGGGCAGAACCTCAGAACCCTGTGGGACAACATCAGGAGGGTTAGCATGTGAGTAACTTGGGCCCCAGAGAGGAGAAAACAGCGCAGGAGTAAATATACGAAGAATTAATGGCCTAAAAGTTGCAAATTTGATGTAGGATATACATTTACAGATATAAGAAATTTAGCAAACCCCAAGCAGCATAAATACAAAACAACCACATGTAGGCACACCACAGTCAAAGTGCTGAAAAATAAGAGTGAGAAAGTTGAGTTGCTAGAAACACACACATTACATGCAAGGTATAATGATTCAAATGACCAGTGACTTGTCAGAAACAAAGGAAACCGGAAGACAGCAGAACGTCTTCAGACCTCTGAGAGGAGACCTGGTAACTCTGAATTCTATGCTCAGTGACGAGACCCTTCGACAATGAGAGCAGCTCCAAAACTGACGAAGAACACTCCAAGCTAAAATGAGAAACTAAACAACCCAGCAATGACACAGGCAAAGATCTGAGTAGAGAAGTCACTAAAAAAAACATATTATGTCAAATAAGCACATGAAAAGGTGCTCAGTATCTCAGACACGAGGGAAATGCAGAGCAAGGCCATGACGGGACGCGCCCGTGCACCTGCTGAAACAGGGCGGGGAGGACGCGGGACAGCGGCGTCCCCACTGGCTGCTGGCGGGAGGTGCAAACACCACTTTGGAAAGCAGGGCGGCGCCTTCTTACACAGCTAAGCGCACCCCTGCCACCTGACTCAGCAGGCCTGCACCTGGGCGCTCGCTCACGAGAGACGAAAGCTTACGTTCACACAAAGCCTGTGTGGGAATGCCCGTCTCGGCTTTACCTGGAACTGCCCAAACTGGCAACAACGGAAACCTCTTTAACCTGGTAACGGTAAGCTGTGGCACATCTGCACAGCTCGGAACAGACAGCAACAGAGAGGACCACACTCCTGACACATGCGACAGCACAGACTGTCTCAGAGGCACGATGCTCGTGAAAGCGGCACAGAAGGCCTCACACCGGATGATTCCACTTCCGTGACACCTGGAAAACGCAAGCCTACAGGGAGAGAAAGCGGACCGGCGGCTGCCGGGGCCGAGGAGACCACACAAGGGGCGTGAGGGCATTCTGGGGGACGACGGAAGTGTGTTCTACACCTTAACTGTGATGGTGGTTACATGACTTATGTGATTGTCAAACTCTCAGAACTGTACCATAAAAGGATGAATTTTAATTTGTGTAAATTTTACATCAACAAACCTGACTTTAAAAACTGTAGCCATAATAAAGCCTAGTTCTGGGACAGGGATGCTCACAACTGAATTCCAGGTTGATGTAATAAGAAATAAAAATAAAATGATACACATAGATACAATAAATTTATAAAATATAAGTCAAAATAAAGGGAAAAGACAGACATTTTCCTGATCAAGAATACACTCTAAGAAAAGCTAAAGAAAGTTTTTCAGGCCAAAGACACTAATACCAGAAAGTGTCTCAGATTTTTAGGAAGGAATGAGGAACACTGGAAATGGATTGAAAAAAAAAGTGGGTAAATATAAAACTCCCCCTTCTCCAATTTCTTTAACATATATATGACTATTTAAAGCCAAAATTATAACACTGCAGTGGGGATCCCAATGTGTGCAGATATAACACAAGACAACCACAGCATAAAGGACACGAGGGGGAGAGGGCCCGGGAAGTTCTCCAGGCTCCTTCATCTTACATGAAGCAATATAGGATACTATGTCTAAATAGATGATGGAAGCTTAACAGTGTGTACTCTCATTTCTAGAATAACTGCTAAAAAAATAACGCAAAGAGATATAGCTAAAAAAGTGAACAGATACATTAAAATGGAATGCTAAAAATATTCAATTCAATTAATATAAGAGAAGACCTAAGAGGCTGGTAAAAGTAATGAAAAGTCAGAAGGGATAAATACAAAACAAACAGTAAAATAGCAGGCCTAAACCCAACTGTACCAACAATTTAAATATTGACAGATTAAACACTCCAATTAAAAAAAATTGTATGAATAGATTGTAAGAATGGAAAAGCAAGATCCAGCTATATGCTGTCTATGAGAGACACTAAATATGAACAGGACAGGTTAAATGTAACAGACAGAAAAAGATAAGCTATAGAAACAGTAAGCTTAAGAAGGCTGGAGGAGATATATTAACTTCAGATAAAGTAGATTTCAAGACAAAGAGTATTATTAGAGATAAAATACACAAAGCAAAATTGACAAAGGAAGAAAGAGAGAATTCCACAACCACAGCTGGAGATTTTTAACACTCCTAAGAAATCCCCCTCAAATCAGCAGAGACATAGAAATTCTCCTTTCTGACAAATGCTTTCAATTGCCTTGACCTACTGGATTTTTATAGAACATGACACCCAACAACTGCAGATAAACGTTCTTTTTAGGTGCATGATACAGTCACCAAGGTCGATTATATGTGGGCCATGAAACAAGTCTCAATGTATTTAAAAAGACTGGAATCATACAGAATATGTTCTCTGACCAAAATCAACTTAAACTAGAAATCAATAATGAGATATTTAAAAAAACCCAAAATATTTGGAAATTAAACAATATATTTCTAAAAGTGAAATTGGAAAATAGTTTGAACTGAATGATAATGGTAATACATGTCCAAATTTTTGGTATGGGATAAAGCTGTGTTTAAAGGGAAATTCATAGCCTTACATGTTTATACCAGAGAAGAAAGGTCTCAAATTAATAATCTACGGCTGAGCCTTACAAAGCTAGAAAAAACAACACAAAACCAAAATAAGTAGAGAAAAGGAAAAATAAAGATCAGAAATCAATGAGGTAGGAAACAGATTAACAATAGAGAGATTTTATGCTAACAAATTTGACACTCACATGAAATGGACAGATTCCCTGAAAAACAAAAATTAACAAAGCTGCCATAAGATGAAACAGAGAGCAAATCCTGAGAGTTCTCTTCACAAAGAAATTTTTTTTTCTATTTCTTTAATTTTGTATCTATACGAGATGGTAGATGTTCACTAAACTTACTGTGATGGTCATTTGATGATGTGTGTAAGTGAAATCAGGCTGCACACTTAAAATGAGGCAGTGCTGTGTGTCAACTGTATCTCAATAAAGCTGGAAGGGAGGTAAAAAGATGAAACAGAAAGTTGGAAAAGCCCTGTATTTATGAAGGAAATTCACTTATCAAAAACCTTCCCACAAGGAAAACTCAGGCTTAGCTGATTTCACCGCTGAATTCTATGAAACATGAGGGAAAAAAATACCGTTCTTCCACAAATTCTTTCAGAAAATAGAGGCAGGAACACTTCCTAACTCACTTTATCAGGCTGCATAACTCAGTCTGAAACCTGACAAATATATAATAAAAAAATTATCATCAGCATCCCTTATAAACCCAGATTCAAAAATTCTAAGAAAGATACCAGTAAATCACGCCAAGCACTATGCAAAGAGTATGACGCGTCACGATCCGGGGGAACTCTCCTCAGGAATGGCAAGTTGGTCTAACGTTCAAAAGCGCTGTGGTCCAAGCAAACAATGCAGGGAGAAGCCGGCAAGGAAGACCATCTGCTCGCGCTGAGCAGACGCGCCCTCCAGCAGCAGGCTGGTTTAGTTACCAACACAACGTGGACAATTCAGCCTATTGACGCAGGGCTCGGCTGAGTGAAAATGTTTCTTCCCAAGAGGCAACAGAGGTGGTGAGAAATGGTCAGATTCAGAGGAGAGCCGAGATGATTTTGGTATATTAAATCTGGAGTGTGGGAAAAGGGTGCTGAAAGCTAACTCGAGGGTTTCTGGGCAAAGCCAATGGGCGGATGGGGTGTTCATTGCTGAGACGGGGAGACTCCAGGCAGAGCAGGTTTTGAAGGGTATGTGCAGCCGAGGGTGGGGGAGGCTCAGAATTTGAGACAGAACATTTGAGATGCTGTCAGATACCCAAGGAGAGAATTGGAAAAGGAAGTGGGATACCTGAGCTGGAGATGGGAGGGGGTGGCACCCAGCCAGGGCCGTAAACATGAGACTCATTAGGGCACGACAGTATTTAAAGCCAGGAGGCTGGACAGGACCACTCAGGGAGTGAGTCCAGGCAGACAAGGATGAGGCCCCACAGTGACACCTTGGTTTAGAAGCAATCAGCCAGTCAGGTAAAGTAAGAGGTGGCTCAGAGAGGCTGGGAGGCTGGGAGGCAGACACGCCACTGAGGCGGTGGGGAGAAGTGGTCTGTGTGCTGATGGGCAGGGTCTGGGGGAGAGAGGACTGACTCTGTCTGCACTGATGTGAACCTGCCGCAGCCATGTCGGGGAGTGGGTGTGCGGGGCCGGCACCCCAGCCATCTGTCCAGGGCCAGCAGGGAGGGCAGAGGGTAGCAGGAGATGGGACGGGGTAGAAGACAGGCTGGTAGAGCATATGACATTCTCTGATGCAGACTGAGACCCCACTAACTGAACACTGGGCTTCTGGATCCCTTGATGTTTTGCTTACACACCTAAGACAGAAGTGACAGCATCTTTAAAAACAGAATTACAAAGCAAAGTCTATTTCTTCCTTAAGGTGAAGCCCAGGTGAGTTACAAGTTGCCAGACAATCCTTGGCCAGAAAGATTGGCATTCAACATACTTGACTTTGAGAGAAACGCCCTGGGGGACTCCAACGCTGACAGCCGCACCTAGAACGCTGTGCCTGGAGATCTTCCTCTCCGCTCCATACTCCACCACCGTCCCAAAGAAGCCTGCCCTGCAGGGAGCAGATGGCAGTGAGCAAGCCAGGGCCCCTCAGCTCCTGATTCCTCCTGGATCCCTCTGGGTCACCGCGGGCAACTGTCACTGAGAACAGAGGCTGGGGCTCCACCCCCAATTCCCTCTTGCCTCCCCACCACCCACAGGGAGTAGAGTCAGTGGGGACAATGGAACAGAGTCGGGACACCAGTGGTGCGGTTCTTAGACCTGGGTTCCTCAGGGATGGGACCGCAGAGCAGCAAATCCCACTGCCTCGCAAGAGGAGGCCCTTCAGAAATGTTACAGACACGCAATCAACAAGAGCAGGCACTTTACTACGACCGGGCGCATCAGCCAGGCTGGGACTTACTTAAGGGATCCCTTCACGCGAGTCTGATCGTCATCCTGGAATTTGTGCTGATAGCTGATCAGCGCAAAGGAGTGAGGGATTCCAAGCTGGGGAGACAGAGGGGAGAAGGTGGCGTGCTGGCAACTGAGACTGAAGTGGGCAGGGTCGCCCTGCCAAGTGCCGGGCAGCATCCTGGGAGCCAGTCAGGCAGGGCCCACGACCCGGCAGCCACACCAAGTGTGTGAAAACGTACCGGCAGAAATGTTTAACAACTGGGAGATTTCGCATAAACCCCAGTTTCCTGACTTCTTGTGAAAGAAGTCCTGACATCGAGCCTGTGTTCTTCCGGGGCAGCAGGTGCCCGCTGAGGGGTGGCCATGAGCAAACCCCTTGCCCCTGCCTGCCCACGGAGGCCCTTGCGTGCTTTGGGGTCACTTGCCAACCCCCTGATTCTGTGGGCTTTTACCACCAGAAGCATGAAAAAGGCCTTTTGCTTTAGGGTAACTGGACCATGGCTCCCCCAGGAGCCCAACAACAGCAGCACTTCATTCCTGAGTGAATATGAGTGAGCAGAACCTGCCCTTGCCCTGCAGGCGCTTGGATTAGGCGTGGTGAGAGGGGAAGGGCTGCCCTCACCTGCAGGGCCACAGTGAAGTGGCTGGTTTTGGTGTCCCGGACGATGCTGGTGTTCATGGCCGACTGGATGCCCCAGCGCCACTGCAGGTAACCCACGGTGTTCTTGTCCAGGTTCCGGGCCAGGACAGTGGTGAGGCCGGGCCGGATGCCACGGGATGAAAACTGCAGAGCACAGTTGGTTGTCACAAAGCTGGGGAGACACACAGGGAGAAAGGGTCCTGGATGACACCTGGCTTTCAGCTGTGCTTGGTCCTCCCCTCTCTGCCAGCCCACTCATCCCCGGGCCAGCCCCCCAAAAGGAAAGCAGAAAACCAAGCCTCTCTCCCAGAGAGGGAGTGGGTAGGGGTGGGGTTGATCCTGTGGGATCATTTCAGTTAACACCCCACTCCGATCTCCATGCCCTATCCCCATCCCATCCTCACTTCAGCTACAACCAAAGAGGCACCTGTGTGTCTGCCTTTCTAAACCAGCAGATCCAATCCTGCTGCAAATCAGAAACACCTGCGGGGGCTCCCAAACTTGGCTGCACACTGGACTCACCCGACTAACCTGAAAACACTGGAGGCTGGTGCCCGCCTTCAATCCTTCTGATTTATAGTCCTGGCATGTCAAAACTTGCCAGGTGATTCTAATGTGCAGGCAAGCTTGCGAACCCCTTACCCAGAGCCCACCCAGGCCAATCGAGTCATTATTTTGGGTGGGAGGGCCAGGCATCGGTAGTTTCAAAAGGTGCCGTGCAATCCTGATGTGCACTCAAGGCTGCATGGTACTGACCAAAGCTACTTGAAAAGCTAGTAAACCATCCCCTTGAAAGACCTGTGAAGTTTGTTTCCAAGGGAGTCAGCCCCATCTTCTGGTTAAAAAGCGGTATTTCATGTCAGTAACAAAGGAATTCACAGCACTTCACTCAAGGTGTTAGGAGTGAACAGCTGGCCTTCTGTAAACAGCCGTCAGTCACCAGACGGCCTGTTCAGTCTCTCTCTCCATCCTGAGCTCTGGAGGTGTTGCTTTTGCCACTAAAATAATGATACGTGTGGTAACTCTGATGACGTTTGCTCCTGTACTCACAAAGCGCTTCCCGCGGCCGGAGGAGCTAAGAACCAACTACTTGCTCTCCACAGGGCCCCCGACCCAAACTTTCGCTCATTTATCTCACACCACAGTCATATGGACGGCAGCGACATTCTGCTCTGGCCACACCGGGGTCCAGGGAGGCAAGCAGGGAGAAGAGAGATGAAAGTCCCCGAGATGTTATGCAGTCACATTTAAGAGTCAAAATATAAAGAATGAGATCTCCGTTTAAGCAAAATGGTAAGATTTAGTACTTTTATGGAACATGTCCTAGACAGAGAGACAGACTCTGGGCAGAGGTCAGCAAGACAGGCTCTGCACCGGGAACTAAGAACTTCCCACAGGCTGTCTGCCTGTCTCGGGACTGATTCCACACTCACCCACTGACCTTCTGACCACTAGTTTGGACCTGCAAATAACTTGACCCTGGGACCAGGGCACCTTGAAGAGCAGACACTGTCCATTAATAAAATGGCAACCTTTTTATACATCTGCATTCTCAGGTCTGATAAACTGGGTACTGCGATGAAGTTCAAATTCCAAACCTGCAAAAGCCGATGACCAGCTACACCTAGACCCTCAATGGACAGACACTTTGAGGCTTAACCAGATTGAAGCAGCCAAGAGGTCTTCCTCAGTGAGCACCTCCTCAACGTGTCTGATCTGCAGAATGACCTGGGTGCCTGATGAGTTCCCCTCTCAGAGGACAGGGGAGGTTGGGGGTGGGGGGAGGAGCCTTTGCTTTTAGTCAGCAACATCAGAGGGGACAATCCTAAGCAGACAAGGTCAGGACAATGCTGACCTGTACAAATACTGTCCACCTGAAGTTCCGGTTAAAAGCATAAATCCTTGTCCCCTCCTCAGACCCCCTGAATCTGAGTCCTACAGCAGAGGCCAGAGAAGTCATGTTCTAAGCAGCGTGCGGGTGAGCCCACGCCGGAGTCCGGTCTGCCCGCGAGCCTCCGCCTGGAAGCACCGCTCCGGAGTTCTGCTCAGCTCTGCTCATCGCCACCAGCCCCAGCCTTCACCTGTCCAAGAAGCCACGCTCCCTCTCTCTCCCGACAGCTCTTATTCTGTAGGTCTAATCAACCTGCAAACGTGCCTTTACTGCCAGACTGCAGGGCACAGACTGGTGTTACCCTGCAGAACCTGGCAGGCAGGCTGATGCATGTCCAACTGGAAGGGAAAGACCTTTCTTTTCAAACCACAGGCTCCATTCCAGGACTCCTTCAGTTACATTTTATCCCCTAGAGGAGGATTTTCTACCTTCCACCCATTTCTTTTATCTGAGCTCACTCAGGTATCCCCAGATGGGAGATCAGGACATCTCTGTTGTTCTAGAAGGGACAGTCCTAGGCGTGTGACATCAACACAAAAGCAGAGAAGACGGAGCACAGAGGCTGGCGGGGTTTAAAGCTCTGGCATGACAGAAATCTATCTGGTAACCAGGCTGTCTCACATGGTGCCTCACTGCTTAATAAAGCCCCTTTTCCTATCTGAAGACGCATTCTCTGGGACGAGGAAGCGATCAAGTCCATAAATATTTCCGACCTTGACCAACTTCCCTATGAAGGTGCTTTCCCTCCAGCGTATCACGGTCCTCACGGCCTCAGAGCAATGGTGACCAGGCAGGGCAGGAGCCTCATCCCCACAGAGGAGGAAACAGGAACACGGAGCAGAAGCCTGGCCCTGGGCTGGGACAAGAAGCAGACCCCCCTCTCCCCCCACAATCCAGTGGTCTTTGCAACAAGCACACTGCCTGCGTTCCATGCCAGCCCTGCAGTCTGCCCTCAGTGACCTTGTAGAACAGACAAGGTAACTCCAGATGACCTTGACGAAAAGAACACACAGGTTCTAGTCTCCTAAATCCACAAAGACCACCAAGGAGGATTTATCGCTTTGTATTTACCATCTTGGTGTGAGATTACGGAACAGCTTGAGACCAAATAAAGGTCCCTGCAGATCCCCAGCTCCAAACTCTAACTGTTCAAAAAAGAAAAAGAAAAAGAATTAATGGTGTTTTATCTCATAGCAGCAGCCCACCTCTGGTTATAACTCCTTCATTTAATTCAATGCCATCGGCCCTTGCCAGGGCTCGAAAAGTAGGGGCTGGAAGATTCTTACTATCTCATCTTAACCTTTGCCAAATGGAGATGACTGTTTCCATAGATCCAAAGGACGGAGTTTTCAATGAGGCGTGTTTCCGAAGGGAGCCCCTCTGAAGAAAGCACCGCTTGCCCCTGATCCCCGTCTCCCTCCCTGCCTCATCTGCGGAGGCCTGCTGCAGTCAGGTGTGCCCCCTCTCCCGCTGGCTTCGATGCCTTTTCATCTGCTCTGCTTCACCATCTCACAGGTGACTGGAGATGGCTCCCAGGGGTCTGGCATTAAACCCGCCAGCAGTTCCGCTCAAGGCCTTGAAGTCCAGCCGGTTCTGGCTGCCTCATCACTAGTCTGGGCGACTTTCAAGGCAACTCTTCAATGTTAATTTGATGCAGCTCAACTTGCTCAGCATATCGGGCTGTTAAATGACTGCCAGTAAGTGGACCAGAGAATCGAGACGGAGGTGCCCATCTTCTGACTTGTGCAGGAGGAGGGAACAGCCCACAGATTTTTGTTTAAAGGGACAAAGATGCTGAGTTTCCTGGGGCTGGGTTTCCAGAAGCTGGCATCTCAGGGGAAATCCTGCTGCTCCCTTCTCACCAGCAGCCTGAGAGATTCCTTCTCAGATATGAGACATAATTGACTCTCGGGGACAGTGAATTTACACATGTTTGACAGCTGGCACCCTGTTGCACAATGATGTAGCCCACCGAGGTCATTTTGAGGGCAAACGTTCAGAAATAAGGCTTTGCAACGGACAACACGATCCCGCCTGGCAATATCCTTACCTCGCCCCATCCCTTTGCAGAAGTGACTCGTCTGAGCGCGAAGTTAATGGAACCTCCTCCATTCCCATTCTGGGTAGAGAGGCTTCCGGAGAGGATGGCTGTGTCTGAAGCTGTCAAGGGTGCCTAGGAAATGATATCTGCTGGTAATAAATCAATCAAAGCAACAGGAAGTGCCAAGGAGAGCAGCCTGACAGACACACCAAGTGCAAGGCCAGAAGTGCAGGTGATAACACAGTGCCATGTGCAGGGGTGCAGAACCACCCCAGCTCCCACCCATCTCTCACTCCACCATCTGAATCACACGTGGCTGCCAAGGTCATGTTTCACAAAAGCTTTAATGGGCAAATTTCAAAAAAGTCCAGGGGAGACACAGGGCTAGATGCTGGTACTCAGAGTACCAGCCGCATCAGGCTGCACCCTGTGCCTCCCCACATGGGACGCCTGGGACTCCTCAGTCCTCCCTGTGGCTGGAGTGACTGACTCTGGAAGCCTCATGAGGAGGGCAAGTTTCCCTGAGTTAAGACTTCACGCTCTGGGCTGACGCCCTTGAGAAGAAATAAATGGGTTTAGGAGGCAGAGACCTACTATGACTGTCAGCAGAATGGCCCGACATTGCCACAGCCAAACAGTGGACAGAAAGATGACATTTCAGTGACCCCGCGCTCAGCTGACTATTTTGTTTCCCGCACACAGTAGAGTGTGCCTTAAAACCAAGATTGGTTCTCAGAATTTCCCCTGGAGGTCTGCTCTCTCTCCTAAAATCATCACGACCTTGGCTCCCATTTCCCCTAGACCATTAGTGCTTCCTGGCTGGAAAGCCCTTGGCAGCTACGCACCCCTTGGCACTCCTCTTGCCAACATGTCACCAGAGCAGTATAAACAAGGTTGTGACTGAAGCTCTGCTTTTTTAAAGTGGCTAACTGCATCCTTTCACAAAGATGAGAAGACCCTGAGCAGACCGTCTCATCCCAGCTGTGTGATCGCTGCACCTCGTTACCCTAGGGGCCCCCGCCCCTGCAAGGGCCCCCCACCTGTGCGCTTTACCTCAATGGACTGGGAGATGTGCATCTTGTTGATTTCAATCTGCGGAAAGCCACTTCCGGACACATCTTCGTACTCCTCCTCGTAGCGATCAAAAAGGTCAGTGGCGTCGATGCCAACACTGATGGTCCCCTGGGGCAGGAAAGTAAGCAGTCAGCTTAGGTGTGGCATTTGCGGAACGAAAGCCAACACTACACTTCAGCAGCTGCGGGGTTCACTGGGCGCGCAGGACTCACAAGCCTAGAGCGTGAATGTCACAGCTGAAGCCAAACCACCTCCAGGGTCAGAAAACCAGTCATGTCCACAGGGAAATGGCTTGACAAACACAAGTGTTAGGAAAAGAAATAAGACTGACCTGTTTCATGGCTCTAAATAGATTACTCTGCATGTAACCAATGAATGCAGAAAACCACCTACAAACTGGCTACGTGGATTAACACTTTTAACATTCAATTCTAAAATCTCTGATGTCACAAAACTACCCCAAAATTCTTTAAAACATAAAAATATCTTCAAAGACATGCAAAATAAATTATAAACAAACGGGAGATTTAAAAACTGTTCTGCCTCCTTAAATTAATTTGAGACTTAAGTTACGGGAAACAGAACCCCACATTCTCTCAAGAATACTAAGCTAAAACTTTGCTAACTGATAAAAATGCACATTACTCAGAAAATCAATGTTTATTACTTTCTTTCACTGTCATAAGACTTTTCAAATGCGCAGATATCTTAATCCAACACATAAAAACATGACTCAACATACGTTTTTATTAAATTCTCCACAGCCCATTACAAAGAAACCTGATTGAGGTTTAATTTACATATAATAATACAAACTGCCCCCACGTGGGTACAATGAGTTTTGGCAGATATGTACACTTGGGAAACTACCTCCAAATTAGCACTTCTGTCACCCCAAAACTGCTGAGGAGAATGTGTTTTCCTCCCTGCGACGGGGACATGGGAGGGAAATGAGGGTCACATGAGCCTGTGAGTATCTCGTGGAGGAGTGAGGAGGTTGCTGGGGCTGGAACAGGGGGAGAGAGCGAGTGGAGGAGGAATTCGGGGCGGGGGGTGCTGGGCGTGAGTGGTCACGCAGGTGGGGTTTATCCGAGATAATGCAGTTTAACCCTGATGTTTTGGCTGGTTTAGCAATTACCCCAGATGTTCATTTTTAAACAGTGATATCATCATCAACAATATTTTCATCACCAGTAGTACTACCATCGCCAATAGCTGCCTGAAACTAAGAAACCTGAGTGGGTCTGGGGGCAGCCTTCACTTTGTGCTTCAAGGATCTGCCACGGTCTCTTCTAGTGGTGACCTTCGGAGGAAATGTGGCTAACCCGTCACTATCCTCCTATCTCCTTCCAGGGGACACGGGAGCAGCACCTCCCACTCCAGTACCGCACACAGGTCCCTGCTGCGACGGTGGCCAGACAGCTCACGCCTTCCAATCTCAGCTGGTGGTGGGGGAAGTATTAGACGCTGCCACCCATCTGGTACATCAGGCAGGTGGCTGGTGCCTTGGCCTGTGACGTGTGTGAAGCTGTCAAGCCACTGGCCAGCTTTGTCCAGGGACAACACCAGGTGTACGTGAAGGTGTGGGAAACAGAGGTGACAGCCCCGCAGAAGGTGCCAGAGAGCAGTCTCAACACGGCTGCCAGGTTCTCCCCCTCTCCTGAGCGCTGTAAAGCAGGGGCTGGCACACGTGCTGGGAAGAGCCAGAGGCTGTGTTTCAGGCTCTGCTGCAGGGAAGGCAGCCGGACTACCTGGCGAAGCAATGGGCCTGACTGTGGTCCAATAAAACTCTGTTTACTGACCCTGAATTTCATATAATAATCATATCTCAAAATACTATTCTTCTTTTAATTTTTTCCAACCATTTAAAAACCATTCTTAGCTCATAGGTCCCATAAAAACAGGCAGCAGGCTGAATGTGGAACTCCTGGCATAAATCTACAGGGTTTCTTTTCTTTTTCTTTGGGAGGTGGGGTAATGTCATCTTTTTTGATAAACTCTTCAAGCAGCAAGGAGATTAAACATAGTATACACATTTAATGAAAAAATTTAGTACTAAATTTCCATTTTCTCAGAAATTTGAACAATTTATGTATGTATATCTATATTAACTCGTGCTTTTTTTTTTATGAGGGGGAAGTAATTAGGTTTATTCATTTATTTCTATTTGGAGGAGGTGCTGGGGATTGAACCCAGGACCTCGTGCGTACTAAGCCTGTGCTCTACCACTTGAGCTATACCCTCTTCTCTCTCTCTCTTTCTCTATTTTTTTTTTGATGAAGGCACTCAGGATTGAACCCAGGACCTCATGCATGCTAACCATGCATTCTACCACCGAGCTGCACCCATCCCCCATGAATTTCTAACTTATATAAAGTGATGTTCAACATTGACCATCCATAGTGTTAATTTCGACCATATGAAAATCAAGACTCAGATCTGCTGAAGCAGCAGCATCTTCTTTAATAGTGAGCCTTTCTTTAAAGAAGCCTATAGCCAGTCAGTAAGACTGAGGCTGTAGCAGCAAGCAGGTTTATTTACACACAGCTGTGAAACGTGACTTTTCATTTAGATCAAATGGTAGTTCCTCCATGTTAATTTCACTCACCCCCCCCCCCATTCTAAGGTCTGTAACGCACATATGAAAGATAAAGCAATAGCAGTTTATAGGTTGGTTCTATTAGCAGAAGAATCTCACAACTGCTAACTATGCTTGTTTTATTCCAGTGCTAACCAGATGCTTCAAATGAAAAATCATTTAAGTTAATCCTTAATAACTGACTTGTTGAAGGTGAAACACTTGACTTATTTATTTACTGAAGTATAGTCAGTTTACAATGTTGTGTCAGTTTCTGGTGTACAGCATGTTTCAGTCACACATATACATACATATATGCATTTTCATATTCTTTTTCATTATATGTTACTATAAGATATTGGATATAGTTCCCTGTGCTATATAGTATAAATTTATATATCTACTTTATATATAGCATTTAATATCTGCAAACCTCAAACTCCTAATTTATCCCTTCCCACCCTCTTCCCAATAGCTGTAAGTTTGTTTTCTTTGTCTCTGAGTCTGTTTCTATTTTGTAAATAAGCTCATTTGTGTCATTTTTTAAGATTCCACATATAAGTGATACCATATGGTATTTTTCTTTTTCTTTTTCTTTCTGGCTTACTTCACTTAGAATGACGATCTCCAGGTCCATTCATATTGCTGCAAATGACGTTATGTTATTCTTTTTTATGGCCGAGTAGTATTCCATTGTATAAATATACCACACTTCTTTATCCAGTCATCTGCTGATGGACATTTAGGTTGTTTCCATGTCTTGGCTATTGTAAACAGTGCTGTTATGAACACTGGGGTGCATGTGTCGTTTGAATTATAGTTTCCTCTGTCTATATGCCAGGAGTGGGATTGCTGGGTCATATGGTAAGTCTACTTTTAGTTTTTTAAGGAACCTCCATACTGTTCTCCATAGTGGCTGCAACAAACTGCACTCCCACCAACAGTGTAGGAGAGCTCCCTTTTCTCCACACCCTCTCCAGCATTTATTATTTGTAGACTTTTTAATGATGGCTATATGACCACTGTGAGGTAATACTTCATCATCATTTTGATTTGCATTTCTCTGATAATTATTGATGTTGAGCATCTTTTCATGTGCCTGTTGGCCATCTGGATGTCTTCTTTGGAGAAATGTCTGTTTAGGTCTTCTACCCATTTTTTGATTGGGTTGCTTTTTTTTTGTTGTTGTTGATATTAAGCCATATGAGCTGTTTGTATGTTTTGTCAGTCACATCATTTGTAAATATTTTCTCCCATTCTGTAGGTTGTTTTTGTTCACCTGACATTATTATAAATGTTACTGTAAACTCAGTCAAAAAGTTCCACAATGAACGTAAAATGGTTTGTTCTTGTGGTGATATTTAAATATCAATTTCAGGGATAGTACAGCCTCATGGCAAAAGCATTTTAATTAAATCAAGAAACTCATGGAGCAGAAACTCTTAGAATTAATTATGGTGCACACAGTGTATAACTGTGTGTCACAATAAGCTGTGACATTCTGCCTATGGAAAATAAAGCTCAAGTGGTCACAACATGCAAATATTTTTGTATATTCACAGTGTAACAGAATCATTTTTTGTGATCCTGATTCTGAATACAAAAGTCTGCTTAATACAGCATGGTAGTGTATTAAAAATTGTGTATTAGGAAAGCAGAGCCTGAGCCTCTGCAGAACTCCTTTTAAAAACCTTTCTAAAATAAATCCTGCAGCTTTTAAAATATTTACGAAACGGCAATCACTGAGAAGCACGTAACCAATATATACTCTGAAACTGATCTTTTGAGGAAGGAAAAACTGAACAAGTAAGTCTGTTTACTTCATTTTGAAATTCCATAATGGCCTTTTGGAAGAGCTCAATTTTTGGTAAGAATCATTTGGTGGAGCTGTTATTTTTAATTAGTTAAATTTGTATCCTCTCCCGGAATGGAATGAAACTGACAAGGTCTGCCTACAGTTTTATGGCACCTAAATTTGAAGAATTTCAAATTTGAAGAATTCAAAAGATCACAAATAAAGACAACTTATTAAAAAAAAGTATAAAGAAAAAATACTCTGAATGGAGGCAAAAAAGACAATACCTGTGAAAACGCTCGGGTGAAAATATTTACATGTTCCAAAATGAAGAAATTTAGACTCGAGAGAGTATTTCCTCAATTAAGAACACTATAGTACACAGACCACAGATGACAAATGTTGGTGAGGCTGTGGAGAAGAGGGCGCCCTCATATAGTGCTGGTGGGAGTGTGAACTGGTGCGGCCACGGTGGAAAACAGCATGGAGGGTCCTCAAAAAACCAACACTAGAACTACCATATGATTCGGCAATTCTACTCCTGGCTATATATCTAAAGAAAACAAAAGCACTAGTTTGAAAAAATATATATTCCTCAGGGTTCATAGCAGTATGTTATTTACAACAGATAAGATGTGGCAGCAACCTCAGCGTCCATCAACAGACAAATGGATACACAGACACACACAGACACACACACACACACACACACACATAAAAAATGGAATACTGCTC